CTATTTGTGCGTTGCATCGTTGAAGTGGGCAATTTTGGCACGGAAGCTCTCTTGGCATTTTGCACTGGACATTCATGCCACAGAGGCAGCGCTTGTTGAAGCAATCCTGACTCAGGATCATTCTGTGGCGCATGATGTGGGAAGCTGGAAACCAGCCATTGAAGCCCTTCTCCTCTCACAGGCTCAGAATTTATCCTTCGCGGAGATTTTGGTTTTGAGCCAACACTTGGGAACATTGACAAACCCAAGGCCAAGAATCGGATTGAGGCTGTGGAAAATGCTTCTCAGAGAGTCATGATTTGTTGTTATTTTATCGCCATTGTTTCTGTGTGTGTGTTGTAGGTTGTCTAAGTGAGTGATTATCCCAGCTGGCTTGTGACAATCTCAGCTAAGAAGCGAAAGGCGAAGGGCAAGGGCAGGGGCAAAGGCAAAGCAAAAGCAAAAGCGGCCAGAGTTTCCAGACGCCTGTCCTTTACATGTTGAGCGTCCAGTGGAGGTGGCTTCGCAAGAACCTGAATCAGTTGTGCCTGTGCCGCCTGATGCTTCGCAGTTCCCACCTCCAGTGGTTGAGGTGCCAAAGGTTGCCTTGCCAGAGGTGGAATCAGGCACTGCTGAGTCAAATGTGGTGGACCCCCAATGCAGCTGCTGCTTCAAGCTCTTCAGCTCCTGTGGCCCCTGAGGCCCCTTGAGGTCGAGTCAGTTCGGCCTGCTGCAAGCTCGGCTTCAGCTCCTGTGGCCCCTCACGGCTCTCAGGTCGAGTCAGTTCGCCCTGCTGCTGCTTCAAGCTCTTCTTCAGCTCCTGTGGCCCCTACTGAGGGCGGCTCTGATGTCGAGTCAATTCGGCCTGCTGACATTGTACCACCAGGAGCCACAATCCATCTGAACTGTCACCTGGCTTGATTCAGTCTCAGAAAAATGTGATAATACTATTTTCTTTTTGTGTATGAGTGAACGGGTGCAGATAACAATAATGGGTAGATCTTGGGTAGCTTAGGCAATGACCATCGATGTGAAGTTCAGCAAGGCTCTGGCTCGTCCATCCTTCTCTAAAGCCTTTGACTACAAGGATGAAGCAAATTGGGTGGCAATGCTTGCCTTCGCCCATGACCATGCATGGAGGCCATGGAACCGCTACAAGGATGACAAACCATGACATGGTTTTGCCAATGACAAGACAATTGTTTGAGTTTTTGTTTTTTGTTGTCAATTGTGTGTGGTTGATCAAGCTGCATCAGTGAGCAAGGCTATTCATTGGATGCCGGTTCTGAACAAGCAGGTGGCACTTTGCCAGAGCTTGTTTGCAAACTTGAGGGAGAGAATCACTTCACTGCCTCCAAAGAAGAAGTACACAAAGGTCTGACTCACAGACCAAGACCACTTCCTCGTCAGATGTGAAAAGTTGGGGCGCATTGTGGTGTGTGCTTTCCATTACGTATACTATATGGAATCAAGTTTGTAAGTAGTTCGTTCATACATTCTGTGCTTTGACTTTGACCATTTGACCATTTGACAATCGATTCAACCTTCAGTCACACCACCTTGTTGTGTCGCACCTTGATGAGTTGTTTGTTGTTACTATGTCATATTGTGCATGGTCGCCTTGCAATTGTGTCAAATTGACAATGTTGAAGTATGAGCCAGGGGGGAATCGAACAACGACAATGGACCAGGGCCAACCCTTAACCCACTGTCTTGAGATTTTTGCCACCAAGGTCTGGCAAAGAGCAAGTCGGAGTGGCTGGGGTCCCAAGTCCAACTAACGCCATGCCACTGACTGAGCACTCTTGATTCATTCATGCATTCACTTGACCAATTTGCATGAGCAGATCCAAGCTTTGAGATCTGTCAGCTGTCACTGTGAAATCTATCCCCATGAGAAGTCAGCTACACCTAACGCATGATTCATTCAATCATGATCAGTCACATAGGAAGGCCAGCGATTAAATGAATCATATCTGGTCTTAGCTTGGCTTAATGTGGTATACGTGAATCTGCCATGCAAGCCATGATGATGTGGTGGCCTTTGTTCCTTGGCCAGGCTTTCGTGACGTCAAACGTCTCTCGTGTTCGCAAGCATGGGATGAAATCGCCCAGGAGAGGTGTGAAGCCGACCTCTCAGGTCTCCATGGCTGCATCATCAGTTCCTGTTGGGTCAGGTGTGTCTGCAAGGCAAACACTGTCACTTATGGAATGTGACCCAGTGATGCTCATCTTTGACAAAGCGTCTCGCCGCAAGCTTGAAGACTTTGATGAATGGGCAGCTTTTGCAAGGATGGTCGTGTTATTAAAATGATGTTACAGTCAAAAAACGATATAGCTTTGTAACTAAGGACTGATGGATCTTGCGTGGAACTTTTGTCGTGAGAATATGTTCATTGGATTGTTCCCTGAGGGCCTACATGCCAGTAGAGTTTGCGACAGTGGCATACTTTGCCGGACTCATTGAGCTCTTTCTGGAATGTGACTGCGTGAATGCTGGGAGGGCAGCTCTACGTTGGCCTCTGATTTTGCAATCGTGTTTTCCACATGAGATGGCAGAGCTGAGTCAATGATGATCTCTCTAATTATGCGGCGATATCGAAACCAACAGCAGTGTTGTCACCACTTCGACTTCTGTGAGGTCTTTGCTGGGTCGGGCAATTTGACAAAGGAGCTACTTCGTGGTGGATACTCAGGGACAGCCTTTGACTATTGCTACACCAGTGAGCATAACTTCCTGGAGGCAAAGCCATTGGCACTACTCCTGAACTGCATCACATCTCTCAAGAAAAACGGACTTGTGTGGCTTGGAACACCTTGTTCGTCATTTGTGATCTTGTGCAGGGCCTAGTCGAAAAGATGTGAATCTAATCAATGGCTGGGGGACTTTGTGAACCGCGAGTTTGTCAGACTTGGCACCGCAATGGGTGAGATCTCAAGCATGATCTTCTTTATACGCTACGCCCTGTCTGTGTGGGTTGTCCTTGAGCAACCCACACCCAGCTGTTTACCTCAAATGCCTTCAATGTCAGGCGTATTACACTTCAGCAGGGCACAAAGATTCAGCGCATTCATGGGCTCATTTGGTGGCAAGTCCTGCAAGCCACTGTGGTCGACGCTTCCCAGAATCAAACATCTTGAAGTCAGTCACCCAGGTCGCCTTGACAGTGGTGTTGAATTAGTTTCTCGGGATGATGCTGGTGGCTTCACAGGGAACAAGTGTGCACTGAGGGAATCTGAAGTGTACACTCCTTGTTTTGGCAAACACGTCGTGCAAATGTGCAGGACTGAGTGGGGGTCATGAATGAATAACTCAGTCAGTCAGTTGTAGCGGTGGCCTAGTGCGTGCTCAGCCAATGCGGCACTCACAACTGACAACAACCTCACAGCTGACTGACGAACAACTCACTCACAACTGACAAATGTTCACAACTGACAAATTTTAACAACTGACAAACATCAACTCACTCACAACTGACAAAACCAATAACTGTCAAACAACTCGCTCATCACAGCTGACATAATTGCTTCCATGATATTATCACTCATTGGCTGAGCTTTTTCCCCGCTGCCACTGCTGCAGTCACTTGTGAGTTTAATTCGAAGTGCGGTGAAAAGTTGCTGTTTGTTAGTGTTCTCTTCAGCTCAGCTAACCACACTGGTGTTGCCTTGAATCAACTTCCATTTGTTTCCTTGAGATTACGCCGGCTTGTGGTGTGTGGCTAAGACTTCATCAACTCGTGCTGAATCGTTTGTGTTGCCTTGATCAGTTTTGACTAAGGTACAATCATGGTACTGACCTATTGCCTCCAACTCCTGATAGTCAGCTGTAGTCAGATGTGATATGTGTAAAATTCATAGAAGTTTTTTGTTTACTTATATTTTTGTTTTTTGTTTTTGGTATTTTTCTGTGTTTTTGTGTTTTATTGAACTTTTATGGTTAAAAACATATGATTAAAAAACTTTACAGTTGAGACCTGTGACACCAAAAGACCTCCAACCTAAAAACCCTCTCATCGACTATACCGTAGTGTTCTGGTGAGGTTTGCTTGACTGACTGACTGACTGACTGACTGACTGACTGACTGACTGCGTTTGGGGACACACGCGGCTCAATGCTTCACTCCTGTTTGGCGGTCTACGAATCGGCTGCGCGAGCTATAGCACCTTGCACAGGCTGTATAGAAGGTGGAGATTGGTTAGTATTTTGATGGAAGAAGCCTTCGCAGAAAAAGTTGAGTTGAAGATTTTGAGCGATGTCACGGAGAAGCGCTCGAGGCTGTAGGTCAGGGACGCAACGAGCGTTTGCGACTACTTGCGGAAGGGTGCAATGAGCGCTTCAACAGACGAGCGTATAGGCTTTTGGATGAGCTTTGATGTCAATCAAGTCAATAGATGGACGCAGATTTCTGTCCAATGTCTTGACCATGAAAGACTCAGACAGATGCTGACAAGACTCAGCTCAAGGTGTTCAAGAACAACGGAAAGATAAGAACCGACAGTTGAACCAAAAGGAGCACGCAGGACGCAAGAAGAGGCGTAAAGAAAAGAAAGAGACCCAGGCATGGCTGAAAGAGAGAACCGAAAGGTTCAGCCAGATGATGAATGGGGTCGAGGGATCATCCATTTTCAGATGAACACAAGCAAAACAAAATGCAATTAGTGTGAGATTTGCCCAGGTTGTTGCTTTTGTTCGCTTTTCTGCCTCAAAACACATCCGGCAGCCACGGTGCCGACGTCGCTTCCGGTCCACTTGAAACGGGTGAAGCGTGAACGCAGTCACGACAAAGGTTTCACATTGTGCGGCCGCGCGTTGCCGCCAAGAGAGTGTTGCCACTGCGCGGCTCTCGCAAAGGGGTTAAAATACAACGCCGGCTCAATTTGGAGCCGCGGAGTGAGTTGGTGTAAGATGCGGCGCGATGTGGATGGGTTTTTGAGTTTGGGTTCAACGTGGAGAATGCTGGGGCAGAAAGAACAGAAGTTTTGTGTGTCCCACATGTTCTGGATTTCTGCACTTTGAGGTCAACGTGTCGGGAAAGCAAGAAGCCAAGGCCAAAGCGCGGACACTTAGACGCTTTTCAACTCTTTTATAGCTGCGCTGAGTGTAGGCCAATTGTTTCGTGTCTTTTGTTCGGCTATCGCCGCGTTTTTTCTGAGGACCCAGAGCTCCTTGACAAGGAAGAAGGCGGAGGATACAGTGTGGTTGCAGAGAAGGTGGCCCAATATGTTTTTTACAGTTTTGCGCGCGATGAGGCAAATATTTTAGGGTTCATCATCAGCACTCTGCTATTATTCGCCAAGCCACGTACACCCACGCAGCATGTCAAGTTGTTTCGTTTTTTCTCGAAGTTCGGGTTGTTTTCTTTTCGCAAGTTGTCGTTGTCGTTGTTTGTTTGCTTGCTTGTTGCTTGGTTTGTTGGTTTAATGAAACAATTGTTAATTTTGATGCCATAACTTTTTTAATGCTGGGCCTGGTTCTAGCCACCTTGAAGGCACCTACCCACCTACCAATCTAGCCACTTACCTACTTCCCCTTCCCCTCCCTGTCACGTTTTCATGTCACGGCACGGCGTGCCCATCATCGACATGAGGTCTTAAATCCAATCTGGTTGTCATGTTCTCATGTCACGCCTATTTCATCTCTTAGCATGAGCATTTTTAGTAATCTGCAAATCAAAACAGCATGACCCCGTGACATGCCGAAAGTACGCGCTCTTGTCACGGCAAAGTCATTTCTATGGGCAATTGCTACTACTCAGGGGTTCGCTGTGTATCTAGGGTTTTGATTCTAGCAGTGGCGAATGGTGTTTCAACAATGTTAGGAGTTTCATTTCCTGACATGTCACTGAACATGTTTGTAACCCTCGTGGCTCACAGTGGCCCAAGCCGATTTGAAAATAGCCGGCGCGAGCTTCGCTTGTTTTCATGGTAGCGGAGCCAACCAAAGTGTTGGCTCCAGTCCCGCGGTACCTAGCATGGCGCTGGTTGGCGCCCACCTTGGCCTTTTCGATGATGGTTGGGGTACGCGGCGACGTGGATGACGTCTTCTACAAGCAGGAGCACCAGGACAACATCTTCTACAAGGTCTACGACTTCGATATGGAGGAGAACGAGGTGACGAAGGACTTCCAAGGTTGGCCTGAGGCTGAGATCTTTGAGTTTGAGGAGTTGGAGGAGCGTGGAAGGTGGATTGGAACCACCAGAACCCTGGACAGCTCAGGGATGGCCTGGTTTGAGGCCAGACGGAAGCTTTGGCAGTGGAGTCATGACCACAATGCCACGGAAATCAACGACAAGATGGCCATGATTGGGGATTGGCACCCTGATGGAGATGAAGTTTTGCAGACTAGTTGGGATTGGAACCCGACAAGCCTGGAAGTCGAGGATGGGCACCTTGGCTGGAATGAGCACTTTGGCCATGGGTTGAACTTCGTGAAGAAGTTTGTGAATGGAACCAACTATGAGCTGATCTTTGACATCACGCCAACGTATGTCCTAGTGACTATGGAATGGATTGCAAGCCTCTACATCTTTGAGTTCATCGATTACACGATCATGAAGATGGTCTTTGTGCTTCTGGCTGCAATTGTCGGCGCTTTGGTGATCCAGAGCAAGATGAAGAAAGAGCCCAAGAACATGAAGGGCCACTTGGGCCTTCGAAGAAACAGAAAATGGAATGGCACGTTGCAAAAGAGATTTGCATTTCGCCTTCAGCTGAAGACTATGCTACTGGTTTCTTTGTGGACGAGTGCAAATGCAATGGAGGCTGAACAAGCCAAACAAATGTTTGTCAAGATGATGCAGATGACTGAGGCAGCTTCTATGGCAGCTCGAGCATCCTCAGCCGTCATGGAGAAGATGGAACAAAGAAAAGATAGTGGCAACTTTGGCGAGGCCAGCAAGATCCTCAAAACTCCTGACAGTTTGGAAGGAGATGAAGGGACGTTGAAGCCTTGGATGAGCCATGTCAGTTGAGCACCTTCGCCTCTGAGGATGTCAAGACACTAGCTCATCGACTATATGCCATTTTGGCATCATACATCAAAGGACCAGCTCTCCAGTTCGTTCGAGCTGAGGCAACCGAAAAGAATGGATTCCTGGTTTGGCAGCAGCTGAAGAACCTCTACATGCCGAAAGCCAGACCCCGCACAATGGCGATTGGTCAGGCCATCATGGGCCTACCAAGCTTCCCGAAAGACAAGAGCATGATGGAGAACTTGTTGCAGTTGGACCTTTTTTGGACCAGTACAGGTTGGCTTCTGGGCATCCAATGCCTGATGACCTGGTGGTGTCCACGGTCATGAGGTGCGTGGACATCAATGTTAGAAAGCACCTTGAGCTGACCATGGATGACTCCCTCGACTACCAGCAGTTGAAGGAGCGGTTGATTGTGATGGACAAGAACTCTCGAGCTTGGTCGGGAGACACCTATTTGAGATGGTCCAAAACTCTGTGACCTCCTCAAGCTCTACAGGGCCTACTCCGATGGAGGTTGACCAGGTTGGCCAAGTGAAAGGCAAATACAAAGGGAAGCAGAAGGGCAAAGACAAGAAGGGCGGTGGCTGGTTTCCTTATGGCTTTGGTGGAGGAAAGTATGGCGGCAAGAACTCCAAGGGCAAGAGTCAGTTCAATGGCAAGGGCAAAGGTGGAGGACAAGACCGCAACACATGTCGTCTTTGCGGACAACAAGGTCACTGGGGCAATGAATGTCCTAATCGTCAACGAGCTCAGACAGTGACAAACCAAAACCAAACGCCCAACAGTGTGGCTGAGAGCGAGATTGCAAGTTCAGCTGGTGGAAAGATCCGCAGTGGATCCTCGGTGGCATCAACAACATACTTAGATCGGCTGGGGTGTTACTAACTAGTTAAGAGAGTTATCATAGTTACATAAGAGTTACTAACTATCTATAACTACATATAACTAGTTTGGGTAAAACGACAAACTCTAGATTTTAAAGCAGTTTTTCTTGTTTTTTTGAAAATGTAATTTTTGGTTTTTGAAAGCACAAAAGGCTAATGGCTGCAGAATGAAATACACAAACTGAAGCGCAAAAGGCTAATGGCTGCGCAATGAAATGAACAAACTAAAGCCCAAAAGGCTAATTTACTGTAAAATACAATGCCTTGGCATTGCACTTTGGAAAGAGCCAGCACCTTTTTCACTTTCCAACTCCTTACACCTTCAGGTGTGCTGAGATGAGGCAGGTGAGAACACCTTTGCTGCTGGAAAACACAACAGGGCTTGCAATAGAGGTGCAAGGCAACAATCTAATCTTTGGGCTGGTGCAATCAAACTTGATTGCATGCCTGGTGGACATATATCCCAATCCTGTGAACTCTTCAATCAAAGCAACCTTTAAGCCATTGAGCTCAAGAAGTGCTTGGATGCTGCCACACTGGAAGGGCAAGTTGCCACATTCACCACAAACAAACAAGATAGCATCACCCACAGTAGCCACCATGCCATTGGCCAAACTGCAAGAGTGTGCTGTTAAGCATTCTGAGGTGGCAAGCAACAAGTTGTGCTGTACCAAAAGCTGGCGAAGCCTCTTGTCAGGCTTCTTTGGCTTGACCAAATAACATTCCTGCACTCCTATATTCTCATTGCTGATTGAAAGTGCACCAACTTGGGCTGCAAGCAGTTCTCTCATCACAAAGTCATCGTAGAACTTCAAGTTACAGCAATTCCCCCCAAACCTCCTAATGGTAAACATTGCCACCTTTCAAGTGCGTTTGGCCAATGCAGGGGCCAGTGCATTTTTGGTCTCATCCTGTCACCCCACCCACAATCCTTCACAAGCCCCAGGGCAGTCTCCACTAAAGTAGCCAACCTCTCAGGACTTGCAGCTTGCAATAGTGGTATGCTCACACAAAAGTCAAGCACATCACACCAAGCCAAAAACAATTGCACTCAGCTGGCAAGAAATTGCTGGGCAAGCAGCATGCTCGAACATAGTATGCTAAATGCCTATACAGGCTCAGCATCTCGCTGGCTGTGGATTTGAGGTACTTGCTGGACTTGTGTGCTTCCACCTGCTTTGGGTGGAATAAGTCATGTGGCTTGATTGACTTGAAGGCGCCAGGTGGCACCCATAGCTGCAAGAATGAATGCAAAGAGTCCCATATGTCATGCATCCCTGCATGGCAAAGTGCATCCACAAGCCAAAAGCTGACAAAGCACAAGACTCCTTTGCTGCACAAACAGTGCATGTAATCATGGCAATACTGGGACACTGGCTGCACCAAGTTTTGGCTATTGAGTGTGCTTGACAGAAGCAAGGAGTGTGGACTGTAGTCAATGCCAGACACTTGTAACCATTTTTCCAATCACCTTTGGAAACTGTGTTGTGTCTCTCCTTCATTCTTTGCCAACTTTCCAAGATCTCAGTGTCTTTGGTCAGATCAAGGTGCTGCAATTGTGTGTATTTGGAAAGGGATGCTTGCTCTGCTTCCTCACCATCATCCCCACGCATAGCTTTTGCCGAGAAGATGCTCTTGCGCATCATACATATTCGACTGCCTGAGTCTTGCTTGTCGCTGAAAGTGAACTTGTGGGCTGACCCATCTTGTAGAAACATGGACAAAGTCCAGAAGAGCACTAGATGCTGTCCAGCTGAGTTCACTGAGTTGAGGGTAGCTTGACACCATGAGGTGAAAGTTGGAAACTCATCCTCTATCTGGTAGGACAAAATGGTCCACTTCCATCCTTCCTGCAAGAGTGGCAAGAATTCAGGCAAAGGCTGGAGTTTTGATCCATCTGGTCTTGTGACATGCTGCTGTAAAGCTCGACAATACATCGCAAAATGTGAAGTGCCCAGGCTCAGGAACTTTTCTTGTCCATTGATAGACCCAAGCATACCAGATGCCTTCTCACACATGGCCACATTGGCTGCTAGTTGGTTGCTTCTCTTTTTGGGGTTCATTTCCACGCACGCAGAACCCAAGGGCAGCAATTGTGATTTCAGGCCAGTCTGCTCAATGTGCTGTCCTTTGGCTATAGCATCATAGCCATTCACCATAGCTCCAGCTCGGTTGGCCTCATGTACCAATATATCTTCTGGTTTCAAGATGGTCTCATGCACCAGTCCAGCCTTGGAGAGACAAGTCAGGATCTGCTGCAGCTTCTGGTTCACAGGGAGGCTGCTATGGAAGAGCTTAGACACTTCTGCTTTGCAGGCAGGGTCCATGGCTAGAGTGGCCTCGGGGTGGCAA